ACAGAGAAGACAAAACATAAAATTAGAGAAGAGTTAGTTCACTCTTACAAGGCATATTCCCAGATCAGCTCCACTTCTGCCCTTTCTACCAACATTCACACCAACATTGACTTTCCATTTCATACAACCAACTAAACTTTTTTATGTCTATTTAATTTTATTTCTCTTGATAGGTAGTTGTTTTCATAAATTATACAACTGAACATTTATAAAAATGATCACATTTTAATTGTATCCATCTTATTCCTTAATCAGGGAAACATTACGTGAATTTTGCTGACAAGTTCCAGCTTAAACATTTTTACATAGCCTGATTCAGAGCAGCTACTCGTTTAAATCACATGGGAATATTGACATTTAGATCTTAAACAGCATATGAAATACTGGAGCAAGTCTTTTGTTTTTTTCTTTTTCAAAGTTGGAGGGATGAACAGAAGACATAAAGACTAATTATGTATAGCAGTATGTTTAACATTTCCAACTGCACTAGTGCACCCAAGTTACAAATATAATTTTATTTGGTGTTTATCTGGATGTTATGTGTTTTAAATTGCTTAGACCAGATTAGTTGAGGATCTGACTATTTGTAAGTTGTACTTCCCTGTTCCAGCTTTAGAAATTAGTCTGGACTTTAAAGACCTGGATGTTCTGCACAAATAAATTATTACCATTGACAAAGGGATGCAACTACATTCATTGTTATTTCGGAAACCTAAAATCATTACAGAACTGCTCTGAGTAGCATTCCTTCCCATTTTCAGGAGCCAATATTTCCGGTCCTGTGGTCAGTTGTAGCCCACAATGACGTGAGGATTTTGCTCTTCTGTGAGCTTAAGTTTACAAGAGAAAACATTACACACAGCTTCTAAGGTCTTTTTTGTGAATTTGATTCCAAAGGCACAATAATTATTATTCCTTGTGTGTTAATAACCAATGAAAAATATTTTATTCATGACAGAAATAAACTAATTTGCCTTTCAGCACATAAAAACCAGCTGAAGTAACAGGTTAAGTCTTTTTTATTCATTTTCTATACCCACTTAACCTTGCAGGGTCCGTATCTAACAGTGGTCATTGGGGCATCACAGAGAGAAACAGCCCTGCATGCACACACTCAGAAGTAAAGGCAGGTCAACTGAATACTCTAAACTGAGTCATATTTTATTCATTATTTTTTTGACCATGGAAGGAAGCTGGAGTGTGATGATTGTAACCGACAAAAAAGATGATCTTAGTGTTTTTATTAAGTTTATTTCTGATAGTTAGTTTTTGTCACTATTTTCTTTGTTTCTGTAACCAAGTTATTCTGTAGTGACTTATTTCATGCTCCCCTGTGTACTCGTCATCGCCTCCTGTGCCACCTTCTCTCAGTCTGTCTTCTTTTCCCTCCACTCACACCTGCAGTCAGTTAGCTCATCACAGCCCAGGTCTTTTGCTCCACATTCACCTCCCCAGCATTTAAGCTGCTCACGCTCAATCACTCCAAACCGGTTTCCTGTACTTCTCCTCAACTTCCCTGTGTTTCCTGTCTGGCCTTGTTTTGGATTACATTTTGTTTGATTCTGGCTTCCTGCATTTTTGTAAGATCAGCTTTTTTAATTTTTTTTTTTATTAAATTTTGCAACTCAGTCTGACGACTCCTGCCTGCTGCATTTGGGTCCTAACCACAAACACCATGACAGAACACAAATGTACTATGTTCTAAAATAAGAAAAAGACAAAATCACTTATGCCCTCCCAAATCTTCATATCAACAGGGGATTACTGATCTTTTTTTCCCACAAAGTAGGGTTCTGCCCTTTTTATGCTGTTCCATACAGCATAAAAACATTTTAATATTTCCACTGTTCAATATGTGGAAAAAGTTTTAAGATAGTTACTTTAGTTACAACATACCTGCACATTAAAACACAAAGCAAGGTCCATAATAAAAGGGTTAGTTTGGTGTGGAGTTGCCTGACTGCTTTGCACACATCCCTCAACCTGAGACATTTTAGAGAGGAAACTGTGGACTACACCATCTGACCCAACATCAGTATGTAATCTCACAGATGCCATTGAAGAAGAGCCGTATTCAACAGCATCAGATGGTGTTCTGCTCACTCCAACAGAGGAGTAGAGCACCATTAGGTGACACTGGTTACTTTTTCTCATGTTTTTAATCCTAATCTCAATAACTTGTTCTACAAAATATTGTGATATAACATTTAATCTGTCCTTTGTTTCTTACAAATCTGCTTATAGCTTTGCAAAAATAAGAGTCAACGTCTACTCTGTTCCATGAACTCAAAGAAATTATGGAAATGTATTAGTTGTACTTTACTTGTATATTATCCATGCCAAGTGCAATTTCAAGGCCAGTTGAAGGCAACTGAAGATCATCACTTGTGCTTTAAGAAGAACCTGGTCCTGTCTTATCGGCCTGTTTGATAAAGTTATAGGAGTCAAAACACTGAGTCTGTAAACCCTTAGGGAGCTGTGTGCTTGTGTGGGGGATGACTGAGACTCACGTCATGTTTCCTCTGTGGGTTACACATTCATGAGACAGACGATCCACACTACAGTTCCTCGTCTAAAACTGCTTATCGTAGGTGGTCTGCTCCAGTGGGAGGTGGGGTTGGTTGACATATGGTACACTCTGTGGTGATAAAGTCCTTTAAATGCACACACAAGGAAGAAATAAGAGAGGAAAAAAAAACATAAATCCAGTCCAAGGAAGCTTCGTGTACTGAGAGATAAAATGAATGACTGGTGTTTTGATAAAAGTAAGAAAAAGTAATCACAAAGCTACCCTGCTTCTTGCCCGTCAACTAAATGAATTTAATCTCAGCTAGGTTCCTTGAGTTGTAACAGAATTTCATTCCCTGTTTCCCACATCCTTTGATTCACATGGCTCTTTTTCATGCAGAGGCGTGAGCTTTAAGCCACATTTAATGCTTTTCTGCACAATTTCACTGAGCGCCAAAGTGACAAAGCTAAATATTTTATTGAGGAGTTACTATTTTGTGCACCAGGCCAAAGCAAACTAAATGCTGGTGAAGAATGTAATCATTAATCTAAAGACCAAGGGCAACATGCTCAATTTGATCTAAAATTGGCCTCTGCTACCCACAAGAAGATAGAGAAATGGTGTGCATGAGTGCATGTGTAAAAACAAGCTCTGTCAGCTTCTGGACTATCACAACCAGAGGCCAGAGGAAAACATTTTGTTTGTTTTAATGCTCTTGGAGCATGTGACAGAGCAAGTCTTTTTCTTTTTTTTTTTTTCATTCTTGACCAATGCTTCTGACATTGAAGTTCAGTGTAAGGTTGCTTAACTTTGATGCACGGTTAATCCAGTAAAGTCAGAAAAGAGCTACCACTTTACTTCAAAAGAATGAAAACATGAAAGAATCTCAAAGGAAATCCTTTTTCTCACAATGTCCACCATCTAAAATGCCCCCGGTAATTGCAAATTACTGGGAATTTTATCGGATTGTGGTAGTGTGAAGCTTTCCCATCATTCCCTACAGGCTTTTATGTAGCTATCAGTTGTGTACCAGCCTACCATAGCCTTTAACTTGGTTGTTTAATGATTGCCATTAACATATCAAGATCTGCCAAGGGGTGCTGGCAGCTTTTCCCACCCCTCATACTGCTTTCTCTGCATTGCCAAAATCAAGATGGCTCCTCTAAATCTTCATGTGGCCCTTCAGGGAGTAGAGAACATGAAGGTCTCTGGTGTAATTGGATTTATGTGCAAAATCGCTGTGAAAATTTGGACTTTATCTGTCTATGTACCCATGACTGGAATGCATCCTCCTGAGAGGCCATTTTTTCCACTGTTACAGTAAAATTCACTTCTCTTGATGGAGTTGAATTAAAGTTATTTAATATTAAATAACTACATATCACAGTATTTTCATTCACAGTGCCTTTTTTAAATTAGGTCCTGATCTTAGAGTTTTTTGGTGGTGAGTTCATGGTCCTTTTTTGTCTGAAGGAAACTTGGCTGGATACAACTTTGTGTTGGTGTACAAATCTCACAAAAACTGCTTTTTTGTTTATTTGTTTTCATTTAGAAAATATAACATTTCAAAATTCAAATCAATGTGTCTTCAATGAAACAATGATTGGCAACAAGTCAGTCCCCTTATCACCATGACCTATCAGCAGATGTCTTGTCCCTTTGAAAGAAATTTGTAGACCTTGCCAGCCTCATTGCATGGCCCTGTCTCCTACTCCACTTGCATCTGTTAGCATTTTGTTTCATATAGCTTAGAGCTCTCCATGTGCTCCTGTGTGTGTGTGTTGGTGTGTGCGTGTGTGTTTGCATTCTGTGTACCAGATGTGCATCAGATAAAGACTGTCGAATGGCACAACTGGCTATTACACCATCACCGCTTTAGCAACATGGGATTAGCCACAGAAATGAAGATGTAGAGACAGATAGCGCTGGGAGTGAACAGGACATATTTAACTTTTAACGAAAACCCAAGAAAACTGAGACCGAAATTAATACTGGAGAGTTTGTTTTAAAGTGACATTGTGAGTGTGAGTCGGGCATAAGAAACAAAACTCCAAGCAAAATTATGTTGAAAAGAGAAATGATGATACAGCTACTAATTTGACAACGTAGTTGAAAAAAGATGGAAAAAAACACATATATTAAGATATCTATTGATGTGTAATTAATTTAAAAAATGTTTCTAGGCATTTTTTTGTATTAGAGTTGTGTGTCGATTTCTGAAGTTTGTAAGGACGTTTTTGTTAAATATTGTGAGAATATAAGCATACTCAGTTTTTCTTCAACGCATCATTCCATAATGAAGAAAATTACAGTGGGAATTCAGCTTTTCACTGGGATAGTTGTCATTCTTCCTGTGGTTCCATATGTTTTGTTGCTTTGTTTGTCATAAAAGTACTTTCTCATGACTCATTTAATCTCAGTGACTGTTGCTGTTTTTTTATATTAACATATCTTTTCCTTTGTTCCTCTGTCATTGTCCTTCTCTCTCCAGATTGAGAACCTGTTGGAGCAGTTAAAAGATAAGGACAAACAGCTGGTTGGATTGAGAGAAAGGGTTCAGGGACTTCAGACTGACTCAAGTAACACAGACACAGCTCTGGCCACTCTGGAAGAAGCTTTATCAGAAAAGGTACGAGGAAAACGGGGTGAATGGCTGGGGCAGTGCTGTACTAATGCATTTCTCTTGTTGTATGACTGTAAAGTCACACTTCGGTTTTAGGAAGTTTGGGATAGCTTGGGTTTGTTGAAGTGACGTTTTGTGGAATAATAATCTCCTTTTTGGACGATGTTGGCGACGGTGAGAAGAGTTCATGTTCGATTCCAGCTCAGTCCGCCTCTGTCGTTGTGTCCTTGTGCAAGATTCCACCAGAAGGTGTGTCAAGCTGTTTGATTTAAGCATCTCGCATGCTGAGTTAAGTGAATATTTTTAGTTGTCAGACGTAGTGATATTACTATGTCAATGTGCGATATTCAATTTTTAAGATTGTTTCACAAACAGGACATGTGAAACATACTGTATGGTACGTGAAAGCTGCAAGGCCCATTTCTATGACCGGCGTTACAGTACAAAGATGAGAAAGTTGTGGTAATACATTTTAACGCAAGGTTTCCCGAACAAGATGTTTTGTTCTGGTCAGCCAATCTTGCAGTTATGCTCATAAAATAGTATAACAAGCACACAGTTACATGTGTCTGTTTGCATAATAGATTGTATTGAATTAAAATTCTTTGTGCAGAATAAATGCCACAGGATTTAAGGTGAAGCAAACAAGCTACACCACATGATGGATGAAAGAATGAATAGGGGAGCTGACTGTCTCTTGTAAACATTCCTGTATTTGTTTGCTGGCAATTTGGGTGAGCAGCTGGTCTTCATAAAGCCTTACCTCAACAGGAGGGAGTCACTTTTTACCAAGTGAAACCCATTTGATTTTACACTATCCCAAAGCAGACGCACTGTAAAGCAACTTGAGCAAATAATTGTCCTTATTAATATTTTCTTTCTTGTCATCACAACTTGATGAATTCATTTTTAGATTTGTAATAATGATTACAGAGTGCCTCCTATTACTATTTGAGTTGCAGCTGAACATGGGATGGATTTGATGTTACTCTGTTCTGACTATGATCTAGCAGATGTCACATCCCAGGCTTGAAATAATTAAACTTTGCCTTGAACTGACTGGCTTGATGTCAGAATGACTCCATTCTTCTTAGCTGTGTTGCACATTTTTCATACTAGCATCTACAAAGGATTGGTTTTGTACTTCAAGCTATAACTGGTTTCCATTTCCACATTTGGTCTCCAAGCTAAAAGATGGTTCCTGGTGTAATTTTTCTTTTTTTCCCAGGAAGACTTGCAAAAAGACACATGTAAAAACCCAATCAATAAGCTTGCTTACCAATTGATACCTTTTTTGTGTATTTTTTGGTAGTTGTGTCATCAATGTACATATAGACAAAGTACATAAGAAATGTATGTACTTATGTACTTTGTCCATATGTACATTGATGAATAGAGCTATTCCAAAAGAGCTTCCCACAACAGAATCTAAAGCTATTCTAACAGTGTACTGATTTATTATTTGGATACAAATAACACATGTGATTTTCATATTTAAATAAAGCCTAAGTCTTAGTGTTATTTACTGTGTATTGCAGAGCTTTTATTACCCTTCCATTTTGCCACATTACAACAACCTTCCCTGCATTTAACTACAAATCCTTGTGTGGTAGACCAATACAAAGTACCAATTAATTGTAAAGTGAACGAAAAAGGAAACCTGGTTATAAAAATGTAGTGTGTATCCATCCCGTTTTAATGTTAAAAGTTTTACATCTTTATCCTTCCACCTCATAGTTACAAGCTTTGTGTTGGTTTGTTTTATAAAAATCCAATAAAATACAGTGAACGTTGTGGCTAAATATGAACAAGCCCTATTTTGCAAAGCACTGTACTTTACAGTATCCTTATGCTACGTAACCTAGCTGCGGTGGGAAACAAACAACAACAAAAGCTCTCCTTCAAATGATAAATTTGTAATAAAAACAATTTTGGTTGATTGTGTTTGTATGTGGAGTTTTATTAAATCATGCTATTTTACATTTGGATCAAATAAGTCAAGAGTCTGTGCTTTACCAACAGAAATAAGCTATTAAAATACAGTTACCCAGCATGTGTTTGTTTATGTACAGAAATGATACAAAGACCAATGACAAATGTGTTTCCACTTAAAGTGATTTTTTTATCACCTAAAATTTGTTTGTGTTGCAGATGGACTTTGAAATGAATAGCATAATGGTGCAATAAACAGTAAATCCCTGCTCTGCATCGGCCCATCTGCTTACCCAGAAACCACTTCACATGCGTCCTACGTACAATTCAGCTGTGACGACGAGAACTTTGGCGAGCTTTTCAGAGTTTGTGGTCAGCGCAGGGTGTGTGTAATGTGTTTACAAGGGCGAGTGTGTGTGTGTTGCTAATCACAAACTCTGTCACAAACCTGGTCTTGGAGTCAGTCGCTGGCCACAGCTCTGTGGTTCTAATTAACAGGCTGGGGCATTGTGTTTATAGCTAGCCTTACTCATTAGCTTGTGTGTGTTTTGTTCGCGTCTGTCTGTGATGTTATGTTTGTGATTTCTCTTGTTCTTATATAGGGTGCAAAGTAAGGCACCTCGCTGAGGCATGTTATATTAACACACACTGCCCTCTTTTACTAACCCCTCAATTATCCAGACATATATAATACAGTGGGTAAAACAGCCAGGACTTCTATCTCCATTACTACCCAGACTCCATTACTGCAACATGCCAGGTCTAGTTAGGATATATCTGTCCAATTATCAAGATTCAAAGCTGCCAATCATGCAATGGTGCCTCATGGTTAGCTTCATTGCCAAGATTTAGACCTAAAAAAACACCTTAGTAATTTCCCTAAGGTAAACAGATAAACACACACCTTAACAACTTGGCTCTTGATACACACTTAGCATACTTAGGCACTTGCTTATAGTCCTGCAGCTGACTATGATTACAGAACACCCGTTGCTTTTCATCAGTAGACGGTGTGAAGTTGTTTGGTGTTATCTGCAGCACTGTCCAGGTCTTTTACAATATCTTGTCCTGCTGCTCTACTTGGCTCTGATCACCTCATGTGGCTGCTGCTATTTATGGTTGTATTATTTATGATTGGCACTTGTTAGATTCTCATTGGCCTTGATATCAAGAGTTTATTGCTGTTCCTCTAGGGGAGGGGTGTCAAACTCAATTTCACCGAGGGCCACTTCAGCATATTGGCCACCCTCAACGGGCCACATTGATGGTACAAATCTTTATAGACTTTATGCAAAGATTTAGTCTCAGAGGCAACTGAAATCAATTAATTAAAAAAATCCTTTCTGAATATCATCTCATGGTCTCTGA